TGTCTATTTACGTGCAGCAGAATTTTTGAATTATGCAATAATATATTGATCCATGTAAATTAGATATTTAGTTCTAATCTTACACTTGCCCCAGCCATTTTGCTGCCACGAAATCCATTTGAGTAAGATCTATCTTGTCCACTATGACAGAATTTAATTTTTCTCAACCCTTTTCCATAATCTTTAAATTCGTGACAGAATTTAAACCACTGATTCATTTGATCTTTTTCAATAATTTTAGTATAATTCAATACTTCCATTGCTGTTCAGTCTGATTTTTGCTCTCTTAAGAGTTTAATGGTGCAATCATAAACTGCTGGTACATTAGGCCTACTACAAAACGACTCGCTGACCTTGAAAACAAGTAATAGTGAAAATTTGAAAAATGTATCGTTGGTTGCAAAAAACCTAGCAAGTATTCGTTCATCCCTTCGTCAATTAAATCGATTGTTTGTTCCATGCAACACCTTCCAAAAGATGTGACAAAGCAGAACTGTTTGTTTTCAAACACGGGATCAGCTGGCAGTGGTTTGACTCCTTGAGGAGGACACTCTATATCCCAGCCTGCTCCTCCATTGTCAGTTACTTTCCAGTATTTAAATAAACCTTCTTCTCTAGAATGATTTTTTACTAAATTTTTGTAAAAGGGCTTATTGGCACAAATGAAACAATACGCAGTTCATGGAATTTTCCATAAGTCGATTTCATTAAACCACATAAGTGGTATATCTGTACTTTTGGAGGTCAACTTACAGGTAAAAGATAAGTAGTAAACTTGCCGCAAACAGCACAGAAGATGTCCACTTTTTATCTCCTATCTATAAAATTAGTTGCGGCTGGTTTATAATTGATTTAATGAATCTACTATAAGTAGTAATAATTATTTGGATCAGCGCCATCTAGCGGTCGTGATTTTTTTGGCCAAAAATTGCTTCTGAAATTCTGAAGGAGAGCTTTAGGCAGCTTAACCTAGAGCCATTTAATTACTTATAAACCAGCCGCCACTTATTAGAGAGATACAAAATAAAAAGTTAACATTGATTGTGTTATTTGCGGCAAGTTTACAATCTATCTATTACCCGAAAGTGTAAATATTAAAAAAGTCGATATTCGAGTGGAAGATAAATTGAAAACTTGCCGCAAACAGTACAGACATCGTTAACTTTTTATTTTGTATCTCTTTGATAAGTTGCGGCTGGTTTATAAGTGATTAAATGGCTCTAGAGCTAAGCTGCCTAAAGCTCTCCTTCAGAATTTCAGAAGCAATTTTTGGCCAAAAAAATCACGACCGCTAGATGGCGCTGATCCAAATAATTATTACTACTTATAGTAGATTCATTAAATCAATTATAAACCAGCCGCAACTAATTTTATAGATAGGAGATAAAAAGTGGACATCTTCTGTGCTATTTGCGGCAAGTTTTCAATTTATCTTTTATCCGAAAGTGTAAATATATAGAAAATCGATGTTTGGATAGAAGATAAATTGCAAACTTGCCGCAAACAGCACAAACAATGTTTACTTTTTATTTTACATTTACAATATTAGTTGCGGCTGGTTTATAATTGATTATATGTCATAATGGCATTACTGTAAGTTGTTTAGTTGTAATAATTATTTGGATCAGCGCCATCTAGCGGTCGTGATTTTTTTGGCCAAAAATTGCTTCTGAAATTCTGATGGAGAGCTTTAGGCAGTTTATCCCTAGAGATATATAATAAATTATAAACCAGCCGCAACTAATATTGTAAATAGGAAATAAGAAGTGGACATCGTTAGTGCTGTTTGCGGCAAGTTTGAAATTTATCTTTTATCCGAAAGTATAAATGTATAGAAAATCAATGTTTTGATAGAAGATAAATTGCAAACTTGCCGCAAACAGCACAATTGATGTTTACTTTCAATTTTCTATTTACAATGTAAGTTGCGGCTGGTTTTTAATTAATTAAATGGCTCTAGGGCTAAGCTGCCTAAAGCTCTCCTTCAGAATTTCAGAAGCAATTTTTGGCCAAAAAAATCACGACCGCTAGATGGCGCTGATCCAAATAATTAATACTACTAATAGTAGATTCATTAAATCAATTATAAACCAGCCGCAACTAATTTTATAGATAGGAGATAAAAAGTGGACATCTTCTGTGCTGTTTGCGGCAAGTATACAATGTATCTTTTATCCGAAAATTCTCTAAAAGTACAGATATTCTCTACTTACATGGTTTAATAAAATCGACCGTATGGCACTACTAAGAATAATTTCTACATATAACTTCACGTATATCTTACACCGTGCCGCGAAAACGATGTAACAGGCTGTACTTAAGTAAATGAAATACTTAGAAACTGTCTGCTTTGCAACTTGTTGTTTGCGCGCTTTCGTGCACTCATATACTATATAGTCATATACGTGTTTTTGTGTACTCATGGCACTCATACTTGTTCTTGTGCGTTTTTATGCAGTACGAAAAAGACCTAATCGATAGAAAATTTTTCGCTCTACTACATGCTGGGATTTTTATTTTCATTGTTTCTTTTACTATTAACGAGACAAACTCAAAATGTACCTTACCATCCCTTTTTCTTTAATGTCACTGATGGTTGATGGTCTTGAAAGTTCGCATATTATATTATTTGAGTATGATTTACAATATATTAAAGAAGCCACCATGTATTAAAACTTTTTAATTCAGGAGTAATATGACTGGCCTATAAATTCCGAAGGGCCCACTTTTCGCAAGAATTTCTTGGCAAGAAAAATCGACACCGTTAGATGGCACTGATTGTTAAAAAAGCCTAAAATTAAACCTAAGGTGAATATAAGCCTTAGCCAAACGAAAAGTTTCTAGTTTCTTGCTATGATGTATCGTTTCTTAAATTTCTTAGGTTACTTACACTGGCCGGTAGTATTTTTATGAAATTCAACTGTTTAGTTCAGTTCTCCTTAAAACTTAAAAGACACATCGCATTAATAAGTATTATTTGCGTTTATTAACTTTTTGTAAACATGGTCTTGTACGTATTTTTTGCAACGAATAATGTAAAATAGTGTAATTGTGGCGTCTCACGTCTCTCGCGCTTCAGGCTCTACTCGCCAGGTGGCCAAGCCCCTAATAATTATCTCCCGTCAAGCGGTGAAATTCCCGCACGATTAGTATATAAGCGCGATCGAGTCAATCTGAGCCCACACCTCTCCTGTGTCTAAGGCAGGGAGCACGTCATCAGCCTTACTGATGAGTCCTGGCGTGCTCTCGGGACGAAACACCTTTTTCTGTCTCAAGTAGGCGATAACAATCGCTACATAATCAGTATCTATTTCCAAAAAAATTTAGTCATGCCAATTAAAGATGTTACTGAAAGCTGAAATGTGCAAAAATTGGTGAGTGAATGCTATAACATTACATTTATTAAAGTTTAATAAGTACTTATAATCAAACAATGTATAAGAATACTATAACACTTACAAGCATGAAAGCACGCCTAGAAAGTTAAAAAGTACATAAGTAAGTGAAAAAATGTTCAAATAATAGAAATTTGATTGTCAAATTATCTGTACAGAATGGTAAATTTGGGAATAATGATGAGGTGATATTATTTTGTATGATTTATTGTAAATGTAGTAAATAATAATAATCTTACAAATTTATCTCATATGCTTACAACTTTTGTACAAGTTACTTTCTCACACAGTATCTATTAATATTATTTACAGGCAAACCAATATAATAATTTAAAATTTGATTGTATGAGAAAGTCAATTATAATAGTAACTAACGGCTCATTACTTATCTATAGTTCAGTCTGTCAGTTGGAACAAAGTTCCATTTGTAATATATATTTTATACAAGTAAATAATATGGCCTCATAAATTACTTTTTATTGTAAAACTAATACAACGCTGTGTTGAATCTTCTTAACTATTAACAAGTCGTAACAGTATACTAACAGGCACAATTATCGCACAATAAATGCATGTATCCAAAATTAAAATGCACCAAGTTTTATTGATTTACAACAAATTTTATAGCTAATTCGGATGATGAAAAAAAACAAAAAAAAAACAAACAAATTGCACCATATAGCTTAGCAATCAATAATAACTGTACACATTTGTTGTCACCCTGATACAACGTGTCAACAAAATTTTATAATATTACACATTACATTTGACACCAGCAGAGTTTGGCAATGACTCCCTTCTCGACTATACACAATCTCACGTTATGGCATAACAATTATTTAACTAATTAATGACTTAACTCAAGCAATATACATCTGTATGTACACACATTTATATTAGTCAATAAAATCTTGAAAAAGAAAAACAATTTAGACTATTCGTTTAGAAAAAAATTTTGAATTAAATTAAACATACTCTTCGGAAGGCTTAGAAATATTATTGGGCAGTCTCAATGTACTAGGGACTCGAGTGCTGCCGTCGGGCAGCTCTGCAATGTCTATGAACACACCAACCAGACTCTCAAAATTTGGTCCCCAGTTTAACAAGTAGTCCCAGCTCAGGGCTATGCTAGTCGACGGGGACTCGTTGCTAGACGGCCTGTACAGACCTCCTATGTGGGTCGACATGTCGTCGTCCGAGGCAACGAGAGTACTCAGCGAGCCCCGAAACGAACTGTCGAAACCGTCGTAGTTGATGCTCGGTGGAAGCGGTGGCTTGGTCGACTGGGGGCTCTCTTTAGCCCTCGCCACGACTGTGTCGTCTGGTTTGCTGTAAATGTTTTCGGATCTCTTGGAGCCCACCAACGAGTTGTTGTCGTATTCGATTTCTGAACAGGTGAAACTATCGTTGCCGCTTTCGTTGGTTGTCGAGGAATTTCTTCGCTTGAGCCTCTCGGTCGGTGGACTGTGCCTTCTGTGAAGATGTAGCGGACCGTGGGTAGGACCTCTGGCTTCGCTCGACGAACTCACGGCGTCGAGGGTCGACACCAAACTCGACGTTCTCGGTCTCGAGTTCAATCTTTCGATTTCCTCGGCCGTGAGTCCCCTGGGCCCCGAGGACACCCCGTTGTTAACTGCCTTGTTGTTGGATTGCGGCACTTTGCGGCTGGCCGTCGAGCCCGACAATTGACTCATTATTGGCGAGTTGAGGCTCCGCTCACTGTTGGAGTTCATAACGTCTTTACCCACACCTCCCGACGACGAGGTAGTCGCCAGCAGGGCGCTTTGCAATGGCTTGCCGCTTATGTCGTGGAGCGTCAGTATCCTGGGCTGCTGGGCCGAAAGCTCACTGCTGGGCGACAATCTAGCCAGTGGGGTGCTCTGCAGTAATTTCGGGGCAGAAACTGGGGGCTGGCCCACCGGGGGTGGAGCCATTGCCCGGCTCTGGGGAAACGGTCCCACGTGCCTGTGTTGCTGATTCGTGTGCTTGTGATGGTTGCCGTAGCTGTTGATGGAAGGTGGCGTGGCTTTGTACTTCCTCATACCGTCCCTGTAGCCCTTGTAGTGGTAAACTATGTCGATGTCGCTCGGTGCTATCGAGCTCGCGTTTTCCAGGTCGTAATGTTCCGGCAAGTCCGGCTCTTGGCCGTGCTCGTGCGAGCGCAGGGAACTTTGGGTTGGCGGTGGCAACGGCGGATGCTCATCCCGGATCAGGGGTGACTTGCTGATCTCGCGTTCTATTATGTCCGGCCTTTGGGGACGGTGCTCGGGAGCACTCATTTCCCGTTCCTTGTACTTCTTGGAGATGAGTTCGGGTCCAAGGTGACTGATGTTCCTCAGATCCGAGCCATCCGTAATGTACGTATTTTCGTGTCTCGTCATGATGTTGTCGGACTGAGGACCGACCAGCGTATTACCGGTCATGATGGCGTTGGTGTTCTTGTTGACGACCGTGGTCGCCGATTTTTCCTTACTCTGGCGCCTCAAGCGAAAAATGATGAAACTCGCCAAAATGGCCACGAGAAGGATTACGAAGAAAATGACGACGAGGGTCACGCCAACGCTCAAGGGATCGGCTGCCGTCGCCGCGGCAATGCCGATAGGACCGCGACAGCCGTGATTAACTTTGCCGTGGTAAATCGTATCCTTCATTATTGATCCCGAGCCATTGAAGGGCTGAACCTCCCTGTTAATGGTAAAGTTAGCCAGGCAGCCCTCGAATGGCTTGGGTGGACCGTCGTAGGCCATGTATTGATCAGGTCTGACACCACCTACGGTCAGCAGCGTCAAATAGGGATCGAGAAAATCGTGCACCCCGGCCGAATCCAACTCTTCGCCCGAGAGCTTTTCATCGACGTACAATTTTAATCCACGCGCGTACGAGTGCAACGTCAAATTGTGCCAGCGTCCGTCGGCCAAACTACCCTCGTGAGATCCACTCATGTTTACCGGGGAGCTCAATAGCGAAGCGTAACTGATTTGACCGTGGCGCAGCTCTATGGAGGTGTAATGCCTATTGGTTGCGGCGTAGACGAGGATACCGTCGGGCTTCACCGTTCGAAACATCAAGTGTATGCTTTTGGCGGGTGTCGATGTTGGAATGACAGATATGGCGTTCTCCTCGGTGTAACGAGACGGTAAACCATCGTGCCAGTGGGTGGTACCGCCGTAAAGGTATTCGAGCAACTGCATCCTCCTGTGCTTCTCCGAAATCTGTTAACCGTAAAGTCACGTTAGGATCCTCCATCTCCACAGTCATGGTTGGTTATTACAAATGAACAAGAAAACAATGATAAAAAAGTTCATCACCTCGTACTCAACGTAACCACCATCGCTGAGGGTAATCGGTTCCACAGCCCCTTGACAATTGGGTGCCATGACTTTTCCGCACTGGCAAGTCGATTTGTCCCACTTGTCGTAGCATTTGCCCTGGCCACAAGCGTTGCCTGCCTCCCTAGATCTTGAGCACGGGCCACCATCGGACCTGGGGCAAGTCGACTTGATACCCCGAGATGACAACGGGCTCGAGAGATTGAGCGCGCGACCGTTTATCGACACGGAATGAATACACCCCACCAGATCGTCGGAGTGTATTTGACCTGGCCTCTCGAGCACAGGATCGGAGTTGACCAAACCGCCGAGTAGCAGGGGATTCTTGTTAAAGTTCAGTGTTCTGAAATCAACGAATGAAAAAAGATAGAAATGATGATGAATTTAATTATTTTTCATTAAAAGGATAAAATTGAAAATACACACCCCGTGAGACCGACGTCCTCGGCGTAGCAAGTGCCGTCCCCGGGTCTGCAATCATCGCACAAGTCTCCGTGCTCCTTGCACTTGGACACGCTCAACGAGACGACCCGGCCGTTTCTCGTGGCAGTCACCTTGTTCCAACTTCCGTCGGCCAACGACTTGTCCGATTTCACGGTGAGGGTAGTTATGGCGCTTCTGGCTCCTCCGCAGGAAAACACCAGCTTGCCGTTGACGAGTTCCAGCACAATAAAGTCGGAGCGTCCGCCACTCTGGACCCCGTAATTGTAGAGCAGCAGCGCGTTGGGCTTCGTGGTCGCGAAGACGATGGTCACATCGTTGGTGTTGGAGTCGAGGGAGGGAAAGGTCATGTACGAGAGCTCATCGAAGCTGAAGGTCGAGCGCTCGCAGTGACGGCCGTAACGGCCCTCGAGGCAGCTGCAACGATACCTGCGACCAGAACGAAACATCGATCGTTGTAGGAGTATACTTATATTTCGAAGCGCGAGCATAGCAAACGTGGGTCAGTAATTACCCTGGTTTTTCGCTGACGCAGAGACCACCGTGCAAGCATGGATTGGGCCGACAAGAGTCGGTCAAGACCTCGCAGTGGTTGCCGCGATAACCCGTTCGGCATAGGCAGAAGAAACTCGAGCCGTCGGGACTTTCCTTGCATACGCCGCCGTTTCTGCAGGGATTGCTGGCGCACGCGTCGCCTCTCTCCAGCTCGCACAGCTTGCCTTCGCGGTCGGGTGAACAGCTGCAGTGGAAATCGAAGCCGACGCGACGACACTGTCCTCCCTGGAATCAAAGTACACACATTTTTCTTTTTCTCTTTCGTTCTTTGCATACAATTATATGTTATTGTTTTTTACGATGACTTACCGATTGGCAAGGGTTGGGTGAACACGGGTCTTGCTTCTTTTCGCATTTCTCCCCAGTAAAACCATCCCGGCACTTGCACACCATCTCGTGCGCAACTTTGGGCGATGTTAATATCAAAGTCGGAGTATCCGTGATCCTTGAATCCTCGTAAACTACGATTTTGTCGCTGCAAACTCCACCGTTGTTGCACGCGTCGATCTTGCACGGCGAATACCCGATCATGACGTTTGCTCCTTCGAGTAAAGTTTCGATTCGCCAGCTCTTCTTGGTCAAGATTTCCTTCACCTCGTGCTTCGTACGATACCCTAAACGCGAATTCACGATTTTCGTTGATAATCTTAACTTAATAAAATCTTTTTTTTTTTTTTTTTTTTTTCACGAGAGTTACCTTGTGAAGAGTGCATAGCCATGTAAACTTCCGTATGGCCGTCAATTTCGTCGATGCTGTATATACCGAGGGTATCGCCAACGTCGAGCTCCTCTTGAAGCAGATCCAGGAGCGCCACGTAGTACTTGCCCAAAAAATCGACAGTTTTCATCCTTACGATCTGCATCGTCACCGTATTCTCCACGGTCGCGTTCGAGAAGGTGAGAAACTCCAAGCTAACTTTGGACACTACGTCTGGATGCCTTCCATCGTTTCCTGACACGCTCAACGAGTATCCGATGCCTGAAAATCAACGAACGCGCGATCATCAATTCAGCTGTTTTGTTTTGCCATATTCATGCCAAAGCACGAAAGAGTACCAAATTTTTGCAGAAAAAAAAAAAAAAAAAAAAAAANTTTCTTGTATTGTACAAAAACTAATTCATTATCTATTAACCCTGTTACACTTTTCCATAGTCTTAATTTCTAACAGTATAGAATTTTATTGTAAATAATTCTAGAGTAACTTTTTATCATAATATCGTTACATCTACTTTAACCATATGATATACTTATATTTTTCTCTTCTGTTATCAATCATTACATATTACATTTAAACTTTGATATTTATTAGATTCAGATGGATGTCACGCACTTTTATATTTAATATTTTAACAAAATAATTTTATTTCAACGGAATTTCTACACTTTTCCATAGTCTAAATTTCTAACAGTATAGAATTTTATTGTAAATAATTCTAGAGTAACTTTTTATCATAAATCGTTACATCTACTTTAACCATATGATATACTTATATTTTTCTCTTCTGTTATCAATCATTACATATTACATTTAAACTTTGATATTCATTAGATTCAGATGGATGTCACGCACTTTTATATTTAATATTTTAACAAAATAATTTTATTTCAACGGAATTTCTACAAAATTATATTAAAATATGTGCACACTACTGTCGATATTACTAATATTAAAAACTTGCCGCGAACATCACAAAAAATGTCCACTTCTTATCTCCTATCTATAAAATTAGTTGCGGCTGGTTTATAATTGATTTAATGGATCGACTATAAGTAGTAATAATTATTTGAATGATATCATG